TTGTACAGGAACAACAAGAGCACGCCTTTGAATTGCCAACTTGAAGTCAACAGGTTCAAGGACGCCGTGGCAGGTGTTGAAAAGGTCAGTGTGCGCAGGCGAGATCGCATTCGAATGGCAGCTAATATTGTCGGTCTCGCAGGCTTTCGTGGCCAACCTCCAGTAGAAACATGCAATGCAACAATTTGATTGCTCAGAGCTTGGCGTACTTGTTTGTCGCCTCGATGAGCGCCTTTTCAGTACCGGCTTCGACGGCAGAGTGACCCGCGTCTGGAACGATCACGAATTCGGCCTCTGGGAAAGCTTGATGCAGATCCCATGCAGTTTTGAAAGGGCATACGACGTCGTATCGGCCTTGCACTATTGTCGTGGGGATGTGTCGGATCTTGTCAATGTTTTCCTTCTCAAGCAAGTGACCTTCTGGCAGGAAGCCGCCGTTGACAAAGTAGTGCGACTCGATGCGGGCAAACGCGTCGGCGAATCCTGGCGCCTCGGCTCGCTTGATGTATGCCGGGTCGACGTGCAAGCGCGACGTGGCCATCTCCCATGTGGACTGAGACCGGGGTTTAGCTCTATGGTAACGTAGGGGAGCCGTGCGAACTCACCCATGCTCGTCCCGCTTCGGCTCGCGCTCGTTCGTCTGTGCCTGTCAGTCGTTTGCTGGTATTGAGGGTCAGAAATGCACACTCGTCGGCCGTCTCACGAGCTCACTAGTATGCAGAAATCATGTCGCCGCGTTCAGCCTCGGGGATGGGTGCGAGATAGTCTTGCCAGTCTGTGGTGGCGAGTTCAGCTCGAGTTCCAGGACAGTAGCGCGCGACGACTGACAATCGGGGAACAAGAAGTTGGTTCCAGGTCCTTGATAAAAGAACTCGAGCTCTGCCCTCCTCAGCTGGAGGCATACGTCGTCAGCATCCGTCGAGCGTTTGAAACAAAGCGACCCACTGTGAAAATGCCTCGCAAGGTCAAGCTGATGACGCTCTGAGGATGTGCCTGAGCGTATGCGAGAGACAAGGTTGATCCCCAGCTGCCACCGAACACATGCCATTTGTCAATCCCGAGGTGTTTGCGGATCGTCTCCATGTCTTGAATGAGATGCTGCGTCGTGTTGTCTTGGAGGCACGAGGGTGGCGTCGAGTCTCCCGAGCCTCGCTGATCAAACAGGACAATGTGGTACACGGCTGGATCGAAACGTTGTGCGTCCTTGTCGTCGCAGCCGCCACCCTGTCGTTCGCAAGATCAGCGGGAGCGTGTGGTGCCCCAAGCGTATTCGACTGACCGGACCACCATGTACAAACACGACATTCGGACCAGTGCCTTGTTGCCGACCATACTGCTTGACAGAGATTGTGTGTACGTCCGACACGGGCAGCATCTGGGTTTTGAACGGCTGCAGGTCACATGATTCAGTCAACCGTGAGCTTTGCGGCTTGCCAAAAGAGACTCGCCTTGATTGGAGGGTACAGCGACATTGTTCTTGTCAACGATGGTTTCAGAAAGGTGGGGAGGCGCAGGAGCATGGGCCAAGCGCGGTCAGAGATTGGCTTTCAAAGTGATACAAGCTTGGCCTCTAGTCAGAAAACAGTGGGATGAGTCCGAATCACGATTGCAGTATTCAGTTCGCTCAGTGACACGAAATGAGGTGCATTTGGAATGCATGACTGATAGGAGGTGTACTACTAGGAATCGTCGCGACCCTTCCTCACGCTCGTTCACCGCTCTCACTCGCAATCCGAGCATGAGAACGAAGACTTGTTGCAGTGGTGAGACGTCACCAGAACGATGTTGCTTTGGAATATGCTCAAAACAACAGCCCCATCTCAGTTGATAAACACCCCTTCCACTCGTCCGATCGACGCGGATTCAACCACGTTTCTGTCCACAGCAGGTCCATCAGCCACGACGAAGACCACCTTGGACTATGACATGGATGGTATGACGCGTGGAACTTGTCGTGATAACTGTCAGCTGTTCCTCTTAGCCAGCACTCAGCTGTCTCGGTGTCAGACAACGCGTCGAGGCTGTTCCCTCTGCCGACGGTAACGAAGAGCATTGGGGCGACCCGAGGCGACCATTCGTTGCAGCTCGCCTCAGAAATAAAGCTCGCCTTCCGAGGTCAACGTCAACAAGGCAACCGTCCTCGGCAATGCCGTCGCAGCAGCGCTCAAATTCATTTCGACTGAGACGAAGCGGACTCGGGGCTTGAAGGCACCCAGTACATGGGATGGCACCGAGCCATCGTCGTGTGCCGGCTTATGTTGGAATGCAATTTGTTCATCGGTGCGAAGGCAGCCAACTACCCAACTGATTTGGTCAAATTCCGATTCGTTGGCAGCATTCTCGACGAGGTTACACTCAAATGGTTCCGATCGCTGTACGCGCTGCTTGCTGGCACAGCTTCGTTCAATGTTGTTCCTTACAACACTCAATGACATATCCGGTCATTTATTAGAGCGTCGAGAGCAAGAGCGGGTATCAAAGGTCTTGGCTCTCACACGCAGGAGGAAGAGCCAGCTTCATCGAGTTCCGTGCCGTGATGTAGCTCACACCGCTTCTGTTCGTCAGAGGGGACCATGCATGCCACAAGATCGCGAAGAGCTGTTCAATCTGCGTCACGCGTGTTTGCGCAACGTGATCGAACGCACTTTTGGGTTTTGTCAGAAACGTTTCCGAGTCTTAACGACTCGCATGCCGTACTCGTACGACACACAGGACTCAATCCCAATAGTTTGTGCGATTATTCACAGCTTCAATGAGATCAGAGACCCTTCGTGTGCGCGAGGCGAGACCGACAGGCTCAATCGTGAACACTGCAGACTGATTTGTGAGCAATTTTTGGGAAAGGCGCCGTCGCTACCCGATGTGAACTTCTTGATGTAGGGGATAGGCGCACAGTAGCATACAGCTGCTGACACCCCACGAGATGAGATAGCTCAGAGGATGTGGGTCGACCACGAAAGACAGAAAGAAGGGTGGGAACGTAGAACACGCACAAACTATCACATACAGGAACTGGCAGCTGCTGTCGTCGATGCGCAGCCATTTCAGAACATGATCAATGGACAGTGAAGCGTAGTGAGTGAGGGTGACTATTGTGTAATATCAAGAATTATTAAAATTGAGCACCGTTTGACAAACTACTGAGAGCTCCAGCACCAGTAGCTGGCAGAGTCCACTGTACATGTCTGACTTCTCTCTCCTGTGTCACAGGTTGTGCGTACCCTTGTGCAGGTCGTGCACCATACGAAGCAGCCTGGGCCTGGAACCGGGAAGCTCCAAGCTCGTAAGCTTGAAGTGCGTCAAGAAGCTCACTGTAGAGGTCGCTGCGCAATTCGTCCTGTCCTTGTAGATAAGCCATACTAGACACGATAAGAAATGTCTCGATAGCTTCAGAATCTGGGCAGCGTCGGGAGAAATTTAGGAGACGCATAAACTCGGCGGCGTCGAAGCAATTGCAGTGCTGGTAATAATCCGTCAAGGCCTGTGCAAACACCTCCGTCGGTGAGCGGTGACGTGGAGCAATGTCAAATGTATCAGACAATGAGCGTATACGGGCGTGTGAGATTGCGTTGTGTTCGCGGAGCGCTCGGAGGATTTCTTGTTGGAACTTCTTCGTGTCGTCGGATACCTCATTGCGGGAAGACGCAATCGTAGTGTTGGCCTTGAATCTCTTCTGCCCGGCAGCGGACGCCACTTCAGCATTTGAGCGCTTGGCGGAGCTCGAAGACGATACTCGACTCTGAAAGCGGAGCAGATCAGTCAGTAAATTATTCTGCTGTTGAGCAAGGACCAACAGGTTCTCACCATAGGAGCGGAATCTGTTTGTGGAGATATTTCGATGTCACTGTCTTCATTGTCTGAAAGATTGGCAGGCTCCGATGAGACTGCAGCAGGTGATTGAGGATGACGAGGGCCGCCCCAAAACCTTCTGTGTGCGCCAGTGGCGAAATCTTTGCCCAAAAGCTCCTTTGCCTGAGTGTACCATGGGAACGACTTGCCTTTCAGTTCCCTTCGCGTGGCTTCACGCTAGTCAAAGGCACGCAAGTCGATTCAATGCGTAGCAATCTAGGCAACGAACGAGGCACTCACCACTGTCGCCCAAGATTGCTCACCAGCTCGCAGCTGATCATCGTAGAACTTCCAGCCTGACTCGCTTTCCAGGCCCATAATGGTTCTCACAATACGTGAAACCTGGACGCGTCGCGTCGGGAAACAAGTCACGTCTCGTCAGCTGGGATCTGTGATGATAGAAAATACATCTGTGATGATAACATACACGAACTGACAAATTTAAACTTTGTCTCGACAACCGTTTCTGCGAAACCGTGCAAGGCGAGCATGTTGCTCTGCACCAGTCTGAGGTGATCCGATTGTTTACCGCCAGGCTCCTGCACACGGGCGTCTCTTAAAGCGGTGACGAGGTCGATCACAGCATCTGCCGACTAATCTGTCCTTGGAGCTCTTCCTGAAGCTGGCGTGACCGGTGTTTGCTGCATGTTATCGCGGTGAGACGAAGACGGGACTAGAGGCCCGAGCGGTTGAAGACGCGAAGTGGGGCCCGAGCGCTGAGCGCTCAAAACCACTTCCTAGGAGGGTTTGCCCTTCTTCTGGTTGATTAAATGCTTGTCTAGATAGTGACAATGCAATGAAACAACTCGTAGATCCGAAAAGGAGGTCTTCGAAGAGCGCCAAAACCTGGCCGAAAACCGGACCCCAAACCTCGCGCCGAACAGTGTTTTGCGGGAGGTTTTCAGAGGTTTTCAAGCTAAAGCCCGTTTTCAACGTGTGGCCCTCGTAGAACCCTACCCAAAACCTTGATTTCCTACGAGTTGTTTCATTGCAATTTCAGTCTTGGCAGATAGGCTAGCTTGAGAGTTAGACGCGCCGAGGTTGTTTTGTGTGAGCCGCGAACGTGTTTCCAGGATATCTTTTTTTGCTGCGGAATTGCGCTGCGGATGTTTTTAAATTATATTGATCCTAATTTCTGTGGCTCTCGTATTGCCTCAATAGCACAGTGGTAGTTGCGCTCCGCTCGTACAACAATTTCGTGCGTCACGGAGAGGTCGGGTGTTCGATCCACCTTTGAGGCATTTTTTGCTGCCAGTCCTTTTTACCTGCGCCGTTTGATCGCTCCGATCCCCTGGTAGCGACGCGCCACCGTTCATCATTGTCATTGGCATGGTGGTCTCGTTGTCAATACTGAAACGGGGAAGGAGCAAGATCTGACGCTATTTGGCCATTTTTGCGTCTCTCGCTTTGTTTCAGGTCGAAGGCTTGTGAGCCATGCATCGAAGCTTCGTATTGAGCTTGCCGTTCCATTTTCTATCGGCCTGTTCAGACCACGGCGACTTTTCGAAACCTTGAGATCCTCGCGTGAACAGCTCCTCTTCGAGATCACCATGGGTCATGCAGATTGGCGTTGTTAATGTTGGCTGGAATAATAATGTAGCCTTTCGCTGCTGCAACTGTCATGCCAACGTTTTGTGGTAGTCAATGTCCTGAACTTTCAGACAGCAATCAGCTACAAGCCAAGCACGATAACCAAAGGCGTTGCCAATGCCAATCTTATCATTCTTTGGGTGCGACACGCCCATTCGCCACTGACAGAGCCTGTAATAGTCTCTATCAGACAGAAAGACGCGCTGATTACAACAATGTACAACAACTGTGCAAGACGCACTGAATACAACAGTCCGGTCATTTATTAGAGCGTCGAGAGCAAGAGCGGGTATCAAAGGTCTTGGCTCTCACACGCAGGAGGAAGGTCCAGCTCCATCGAGTTCCGTGCCGTGATGTAGCTCACACCGCTTCTGTTCGTCAGAGGGGACCATGCATGCCACAAGATCACGAAGACCTGTTCAACCTGTGTCACGCGTGTTTGCGCAACGTGATCGAACGCACTTTTGGGGTTTGTCAGAAACGTTTCCGAGTCTTAACGACTCGCATGCCGTACTCGTACGACACACAGAACTCAATCCCAATAGTTTGTGCGATTATTCAAACAACTTCAATGAGATTAGAGACCCTTCGTGTGCGCGAGTCGAGACCGACAGGCTCAATCGTGAACACTGCAGACTGATTTGTGAGCAATATTTGGAAAAGGCGCCACCGCTACCCGATGTGGACCTCGTGATGGAGGATATATATATAAGCGCAGAGCAGCGTACAGCTGCTGACACACGACGGGATGAGATTGCCCAGAGAATGTGGGACGATTTTGTAAGGCAGATAGAACGGTGGGAGCGCACAAGACTTTTGGATTTTCACTTACAGGAGTTGGCAGCTACTGTGGTGGAGGCGCAAGCAATCCAGAATATGAGGAATGAAGAAGGAAGAGCAGTGAAGACAGGCATTATGGACAGAAATTGAAAGCCAAAAAATTGCCAAAGTCGGATACCGTTCAATAAAGGGACGAGACCTCCAGCACCAATACTAGGCAGAGAAAACTGTGCCTCTCTTGCTTCTCTCTCACTCATCGTAGATCGTGCGTACCCTCCTGGAAGCTGCGCAGCATACGTAGCAGCCCGGAACTCGCAAATTTGAAGCTCGTCTTGAAGCCCCTGGAAGCTTTCCTTGCCAAGACTCCCCCGTCGAGGAGCCGCATCAGCCACGATAGTAAAGCGCCATGTGTCATTGTCTGATGTATGATGTCCGGCAAGGCTTTGCTTCATCTTTCAGCGCGTCGATGCGCGGTTCAGGGTTTTGCTCAATGATGCCCATGATGGGCAGCTTGTGTGCGACTTTCGAGGGGATCGTCAATCTATTCCAAGTCTTCCAATTGCAACAAACTCCAATCAATGACTTGCATTCACAGCTGCTGATTTCGTTGGCTGGACAGCGCTTTGCTGAGCTGCGCTCTGCGTCTTGACCCCACACCACCACCGCCATGTCACGCTTTGTGCGACCGAGCAGCTACCGTCATGTGTACGGTCAGCCTGCCAAAAAGGAAAAAGTCCACGACAACATCAAGGTGAGCTCGCGACAAAGGTGTGCCCAGCCCCCCCACATCGCTAACCGCTTGACGCAGATCTCGGGTCTGTCATAGTAACTGGCGACCATTGCTCCATCGTTCTGACACAAAGTCTCACTTCAGCCTCTGCCTGGGACACCAACTTGGTCTCTGCCAGTGCCAAGTACCTCGCCGTCAACTGTCAGTCCGGGTGACGACGTCACCACCCATCCACACCAAAGCTGACACTGGAATCACGCAGACCAAAGCTCTGGCGGTGGCGCGTTCTTGGTGACTCCATTGGATGTGACGGGCAAGGTCAGCTCGTGGTCACGAATCTTGATCCGACTGGCTGTCTGACGGATCCGCCCTCAGCTGCCCGACGTGTTTCCGTTGTGCCGAGCGCACACGGCACCTGTCCTCGACACGGCTTGGAGTCCGTTTGATGATTCGCTGATTGCGTCGGCTGGCGAAGACAGCAAGGTCGCCGTGACGAGAATCGACGAGTCGATCTTGCGTGATGCCCTCAGCGGAGACTCGTCCGACGTTCAAGACTTGAAACCACACGTGACACTGTCTGGTCACGGCCGCAAAGCCGGTCACGTCGTCTGGCACCCAACAGCCGACGGCCTTCTCTTGTCGGCCTCGAACGAGCTCAAATTGTGGGACGTTGAAGCGTCCAAAGCTGCGTTCACGAGTGCTGTGCACGGCGACATGGTGCAGAGCTTGTCGTGGGACTTTTGCGGCACAACAATTGCGTCAGTTTTGGTTTGAGCACGACTGTCGCCCTGCCTCTGACACCTCCTCGACAGAACCACGTGCAAGGACAAGAAGCTGAGACTGTTTGACCCTCGAGCGGGCGCAGACGCCGTCACGGTAGCCGATTCGCACCCGGGTGTCAAAGGTTCACGTGTACAGTGGATGGGATCGCTCGAACGTATTGTTACAACTGGCTTTTCGCGCACGTCAGAGCGCCAGGTCTACGTTTGGGATTCGAAAAACATTACGAATGGCCCTGTCAAAACTTTGACCATCGATCAAAGCTCTGGCACGCTCATGCCGTTCTGGGTCGATGGCAACAAGTGAGCTCATGTCTCTGCAGGCGGTCTGTCGTCGTGTCTGACCCTTTCATTCAGCGTCTTGTTCCTTGCAGGCAAAGGGTAAGTCTCGGGCGCGCACGACTCCTAGCGGAATCCGGCTGACACGGTAAATCGCAGCGACGGCAACATTCGATACTACGAATGGGAAGGCGAAGAGCTGCACTACCTGTGAGTCGCCCTGCCCTGCGCAGACGAACCGGAGCTGACAGCGTGTCTGCAGCAACGAGTTTTCGAGCCCTCAACCTCAACGCGGCATGTGCCTGTTGCCACCTCGAGCGCGCAGCACGAGCACAAACGAGATTGCTCGAGCGTTCAAAGCGGTCGGCTCCATGATCGAGCCCATCAGTTTCTACGTGCCCCGAAAGGTCAGTAAAACGCCATTTGCTTACGTCGAACTATGCTGACCAACGAACGGCGACAGTCCGAGGCTTTCCAAGCAGACATATTCCCACCGTGTCCGTCCGACAAGCCCGCGTTGTCAGCTCAAGACTGGCTCAACGGCAAGACGTCAGAACCCGTGCGCGTCAACCTCGAGACGCTCGAACAACAGTCGGCACCTGCTCCATCGACTCACACTCCGGCAACGCCAATCAAAGCAGCTTCGACGCCATCGCCAGTTGCGGCCATTAATTCGATCCCATCGACGCCGGTCAGTAGATCAGCGGCTGCGACGCCACCACCTGCCGCCACGCCTGCCGCGCCTGAACGCTCGGCCTCCATCGATTCGGCTCAGGAGCCACCGTCGGCGTCACCTGCCACGGTCGTATCGAACGGAACCGCAGGCGATTCTGAAGCCGTGTCAAAACTTGAGGCCGACTTGGCCGACTCTCGCCAACGACAGAGTCGACTCGAGCGCGAGTTGCAAGAGCGCGATAACGAGATCAAGTCTCTCAGACAAAAATTGGAAAAGATCAGGGTCAGTACGAAAGGGGCGTCCCACGCGAGAACCTAAGCGTCTGACGCTGAATTCTTTTCGCAGGCTGCCCTCGATTAGACGCGTTTGCTTTCTTGCATAGACCAAACTTGTCTCCGGCGATTCGGATGGGAGTGTGGCACACCTTATTCTCTGTTGAAAAAAAGACGAATGCTCGGGCATCTTTTCAATTTTGGATTGCGTGCCGCAAACTGGTCTAGGTCTACTTTGTTGTCGAGATCTGGCTCTGATGCGAGACCTGCCTCATGCCCTGCCTAAGCAGACTCGAGCGGTGGTGGTCCTTCATCGTCTTCGTCTTCTTCCTCCGGTGCGTCGCCTTCGCCGTCACCACCGGCGCCAATGCCGCTCGCCTTCATTTGCTCCATCAGCTTGGCAAAGTCCTGCTCGAGTGTGTCGGGTCAGTGAAGCCGAGTCAAAGAAACATTGAGCATTCGAGAACGCACCATGCCACCGGCGCCGCCCATTCCGCCGCCCATTCCACCCATCATCCCGGCCATGTCGCCCATGCCTCCCATGCCTCCCATGCCTCCCATGTCTCCCATGCCGCCCATACCTGGCATGCCTCCCATGCCAGCGCCCTGTGTCCAATAGCGTCAGCGGTGTCCAAGTCTAAGCAAACGTGGGAACGTGCACTCACAGCTCCCAGGTCGGGCATCTCTTCCTCTTCGTCCTGCTCGTCTTCGTCAACCCATTTGGAAAAGTCGGTCTGTGCGAGGTGTATCTGATTAATCCAGGGAACTTTCACAAGATGATGACAGAACTCACCTTCAAGTAATTGAGCTTTGTTTTGTCCTTGGTCAAACGAGGCCAGTACTCGGCCTTTGCTTCCTTTTTCCTCAAGACTAAGCTCAAGTTCTTGCCAGTCAATGTACGCTTGATCTCTTCGACTTCACCAAACAAGTCCATGTCGAACGAGTAAGTTGTGGATTCGATTTTGGCTGCCGTGCCCGTACCACCGCTTTGCTTTGGGTGACCCGAGAACGAGATCTTTGTTGGAGCAATCTCGAGCTTGTAAGAAGGGTCAAGCTCTGACACGTTGATGGTCAAGTAGATGACATTCTTTTCTGGCTCGGTTTCGCTGCATCATGACACGACGAGAGCGGTTGC